AGGGAAAATTTAAAGCTTCTGATTGGTAGAACACAATTTTTTATAATAAATGTAATATCGATTATATATTTATAATTAAGTCAATTATAAGTTGACCTACCATTGGAAAAACAAATCCGTCATTGTAATCTGTGTGGTCTCCTATTAAATTTACTCTTCCAGGAGCACATGCTGCAACTTCTGGTACCTGTCCTTTAAATTCCTTCATGAAAATGTTCACAGCTGCTTTGATCAAGTCATGTTCTGAGCCAAATTTGCATGCCATAATGCTTTATATGTACATGCAATTTACTGAATACGTAGAATATTATTACCCAAATGAAAATGCAATGTTAAGACAAAGGATTTTAAATGATACCAGTTCTGTAAACACGGTTGCCGTATGAAATGTATTATTAAAGAGATTGACTTAGGAATGTACTGTGTGAAAAATGATAGCATTATCTTTATTTGTGGAAGATATATAAGGAACATCAGCATAACAGGGGTGTCCAGAAAAGAAACTCGTTCAGAAAATAGTTGACGTGGAAAATATTGGCAACATCGATTTTTTTGTCGTTTGCAACATGGCCAAGAGAAAGCCAGGCAACTGTATAATGTTGATACTGTGTAGTGATAAGTGGTTATGCTTTAGTGAATGAAAATATTCGCTTTGCGATTATTCGTAAAAATTATTGTTATGCGCATTCATAAGCAACAAACACAATAAGATATTTTAAAACTAAGTATTATGAAACATGTCAGTGTCCGATCCGTTGTTGAGGGAACTGAAAGGTAGCTGCTGTATATTAGCTCATTTTCCGGAACTTTAGTTTCTAAGAGTTATTTGCATGACCGGTTATTCCTGAGAAAATAATAAATAATTGTAAGTGCTAATAAACGGTTGACGTGCAGGCACAGATTAAGAATGTTTTATATCTGGGTGTGAGTTTAGGGTTTATATGATTGTCAGTAGGGTTTATATAACATGAAAATGTAGGGTTATGTATAGTATTGTAAAATCACATCATACACAAAACTCGCCTCTCTTTTATTGAAACTCTTTAGTGAATAAATTTTGAACAGTTCTGAGAATTTAAATGGATGATTTTTGTTTGTCATTAGTTTTGCAACAGTATTTAAGCTTATGAAATCATAATAAATGTGTGGGTTGTTCGTTATATCGTCTTTATTGTGGTTATGAAAGGTTAACAGTTAATTGAAAATACTTTTAAAATAGACATTACTTGCAAATTAGTCTCCACAATATTCACAAGTATGTGCTGCTAGTGACCATATAAATTTTGATAAACCACTTAGTATTTTGTATCATTTGGACATAGTGATAATGATTTAGGATGATGGCTTGATGATTGAGTTCATTTTATGTCTGCTGCAACAAATGTTGAACTGGATTTTGGATATCATCATATATGAGAATATAGTACATAATGTTATCTTACAGAATGCAGAAATTAAATTAAAATAGTAGGTTATTCTTTGTTTTGAGTGATTAATATTTTTATGTTATGTCAATTCAGCATTTTAATATTGATTCACATTTGTTACTTTGAAGGTTGTGTTCTGAAGTTGGTGCAGACAACAGGTAGCAGCGAAATTGTTGATGACAATGAAGAATTACAGCATTTGTGCGAAATTT